TAACATATCTATCTAGAAGCAGTGGGATTTCCCGTGAAACTATCTGTCACTTCATCATTTCCCAACATACAAAGTCATGTTTTTCGTTATCAGCAAAAATCATGGATAACCCTTCACATCCATTACATCAAGATCTTATCAAGTGTGTTTCCTCCTCTTCCACCCGGTCCCGTTATAAGTGTATATTTGCTCGTACGACCGCTTATCGGTCTTCTGTGGTGCCCTATCTTGCCCGATTTCTTGTCAGCGCAGAAAGCATTGCTTCGGACCTTTACTCAATTATCTCGTAAATTGTATTCATTTTCACTGCTCATGATAATTATGTAATAATTTTGTTCGATGACTATGTGACTGCTGAATATCCACCTTTCGGGGTGCATAAAGCAAATACTTGACTTGAATAGAACGATGAAAGCTCTTCAAAATGGTGTCACAGTTGATAGGTATATAATTAAGCACTATTACGTTCCTTAATGACAGCGAAGTCGGTGGGGAATATCGAACGTCGTGAATAATCCAAGAGTAGAATATATATATATATACAGTATTTTAGTATCACTGAATGCAGCTCGCAAAACTGAGCAGAAAGAGTGTAAACTTGTTGCAGTACGCCGTGTTTGGTACAGAAAATCCAATTTATCCGGGAGCGCATTAACTGAGCAACCGCACAGGATGTGAACAGTACAGGAAGAAAAGGAGAAGTCTTGGCCTATTGTCGCAACCAAGGGTTCTCACTGAAGCTGTGTACCGACATGGCGTGTGTAGCTTTCACGTAAACGGAGAGCAATTGATATTCGATATTCTCAACAGAAGCCGATCATCCATTTGTTAGTAGTCTTTCTTAGGCGGCCAATACCATGTTTCCGTCCACAGTAGTCACCGTCCTTCTCAAACCAGCGAATCCAGCAGCTCACGGTCTTCGCCCATATCCACAGCAAGAGTCCGCGCAGTCGACCATCTTGGATTTCCAAATTCGTATGTGCTGCAAAAATCCGTTGCCCCAAGTGACACCCTTAGATGATTCTGGTATCTCCTTCAAAGGACAAGAGGATTTGGTAGCGACACTTTCGGTTCCAATCTCCGGTGGATCAACAAGGTGAGTTGAGGTACACCGCTAAATTGTGGATAATTAGTTCTTGAGAGTGCCCTCAGTCGCTCCTATGTCCACCTTTCGAACGCAACTCACAATGCATATTGTGTGTGTGCGGACCGGCAGTATAGCGTGCGCGATATACCACCATCATTGTTCTGTTGTATGTTTAAAAGCAGGTAGTCGTTATTTGGGGCATTTACTATTATTCTCCTCGTCTTTTATGGCACGGATCCAACCAGGATCCTATTTCGAATTTCATCCTATATGTGCGAAGATCACTCTTGATAAAGACCGAAACAAAATGTAGTTAGACGAAACAACTCATATCCCGGACTGTTGCTAAATATCCGAATCTTCTTGGTGGTGACAAATTCGCGGCTTCTTTTCGGTCTGTGTGATTAGTAACCGAAGTGAATTTTCGATAGTCCTCAACAGCTGATCAAAAAGTTCCATTTTATCCATACCCCATACAAAAAGTTTGTTTTGAAAGGAGTATTGTGATCCACAAACCACACTGTAGTGATCCAACACCAGGTAACCCGTGTGGTGATCTTAACCTACAAGATAACGCCAGCCACGGTGTGACGTGTCACAGATTCTGGGCAACGAACCACAGGCCAACAGAACCAACCAATCAGAAGTAGTGCGGTTCCAAAAGAAGCTGTATGGAGTCAAGAATGCAACCAGGCCATTGGTGAAGACCTGGTTAACCAATGACGTTTCTTGTCAAATATCAAATTTACCAATGAAATTGTGATCAATTCATGCAGTTTCGAGTTCTCTTGCATGAAAAACAAAGCGAGCATCATTTTTGCTTGTACAGTTGCATAACTGTAAAATAAAGCAACACGTGGAACAGTGATAAAAAGTCAATCACTGAGTGGCTACGAAACGGGGTGGGGGTGAGGAACAATGTGATATAATTTTAAGCATACATGGTAGTCGGTTGGTTGTTTCTTTTTTACTGCACCCAAGTACAGTGCGACCTTTCTGTGGTTTTACTTCGAAACCGCAATAAAAGCTTTCTGTATACGCGTCTGGCTGACTGGTGATTAGGTTTTATTTCTCTCTCAGTGCTACCCGACAGACTGGTTTATTTCAAACGACCGTTTGTAGTCTGTTTGTTACATCTGACAAAAACAAGGAAGTTTTCAAGGTTCCGAAATAAATTAACATGGTAGAACAACCGAATTCTTAATTCTGACGACAAGCGATATTTGGCCAACTACAACTGGGCCGAAATTATTCCAAATGGCATCAAAATTCCTCAGCGTTGTCAACTAGAATGTCCTCAAGGTGCCGAGGGATCTCCGTGGGAATAAGACGTTTTGATTGATTTGAACTGACTATCCTTCGGACTTTACCTTCATACAAAATCCTCAGTTCATCCAGTCAACCATAGATGAATTGGTCATTCGGTTCAGCCGTGGCATGAGCCGGCTGGCACAGCTGTAACGCACACACCTTCCATGCGATGGGTCCGCAGTTCAAAGGTCGGACGGGACGATGGATATTCATTACTGATGAGCTAATAATGAGACCGAAACTCGAGTCTAGTGTTTCTGAGTGTATGATTGACTGGAGGAGTTGAGAAATGGTCAGTTCGAATCAATATCGATTATCCCACACCACTGCTTACAAGTAACTGTGAGTCAAATGCGAATAAGACGTTTCATGAACACGGTAACTGTAAAATCAACCGGAAAAGAATAGCTAAGTGCGGTCAACATTCATTGCACTTGAGTGAACGAATAAAAGTGCATGCTTCACGCGCCGCATCGAGCTGCATCCGAGAAATGATGGGTACATGAGAGTATATTTTACTCGCATAAATTAAGTAAGAAATCGGGGCTGAAGTATGAGGCGAAAAGTTCGAATCTTAGCTAAAGTTCGTTCAACCATGAGCAGGCAATCGTTAATAGGAAATTGTGATCAAAAACACCGAGGTGAAGCCAATCAGAGAGCTAAATGGTACAGCTTCTGAACAACCAATCAGAAGCCGGCAGTCTACACCAATCAAATTTGCCGGAGTTCATTCAAGAATACTGTGACTGAAACAATGTGAACACTTACTGTTTTTCTTCTACATACTTAGTTATTAAGTCAGTTTCCCTCGATAAAATAACTGTTAATTCTATGGCCTTTTTGATGCGACTTGGTATCGGGATGTCTTAGTTTCTGATTACAAGCGTGACTTTGGTTCCTGAACCGCAGATAATTCAGGAAACATTTAAGTCCCCTCTATCATTTGCTTCATGACAAAAGCAGATACAGGGAGATTGTTGTTGATAACGTGCTGAAAAAATATTTCCCATAATTCACATTTGACTCACAGTTACTTGTGAGTAGTTGTGTGGGATAATTTATATTGATTTGAACTAACCATTGTTCGAACGTCAACTTCACGCTCAATCCTCAGTTCTTCTAGTCAACTATATACTCGAAAGGACTCGAGTTTCTCACTTATTAGAGCTTATCAGTAGTACATATCCACTTGAACAAACATGAATTGGCAATTCTATTCAGTCTATGTATGAGCTGGTTAGCACAAGCACACCTTTCATTTGATGGGTCCGGAGTGTAGCGACCCGAACTGCCTCTCACTCTACATGTACTCTTCCTCTCTTGCATCTCGTTTTACAGTACCAAGGCCACTTTTTTGGTCAGCGCGTGTCTGCTTTCACTTTCCACACGCTTCCGCATTTCTTCTTTTGGCTTTGCAGGTTTATGCAATATAACCATTTTCCGTTCCTTGAAGTGTTTCATTCTGCTTTGGTACGAACGCTCGTTTGCGACATAGACTGGAGTACCTGGAGTACCGATAGGCCAGCACCCACGGGAGTTCACAGCCCGAACGGAACGGTGGATGTGCAGTATTGATGAGCTCTAATAAGAGCAAAACTCGAGTCTGGTGCTTCCAACTCTGTATGGTTGGCTAGAATAACTGAAGATGGAGCGTGAAGTTGAAGTCCGAAGGATGGTCAGTTTAAATCAATCAATATAGGATAGTTGTGCAGTGCAAGAATATAGTGGATATTGAGGAATAAAAGGCAACCCCAGAAAAGAATATTTCGCTGCTTATCGCGGACGGTTTACGCCTCGACCAACCATTCAACAACGTAAAATGAGAGCGCACCGAAACAAACCTGCCATCAATTTGGAGATAATGTGATTTTCCTCATAATCGTTCCTCTGGTGCGGGACAATTTTCTTCTGCTGATTTTTACACACGTGCTGTCCTGGATGCCTTTTTTCATTGTAAACACACACGAGACTGTGACAGTTATGAGGGTTGGTCGCAGCGGAAAACGCCGTGATACGTGTGTGTGGGTGTATATTCAGACGCGTTCATCATTCAGTCAAATCACACCCAAGTCGATTGTTGTCTTTCACTTTTTCAAGGTCATAAAGGTTAATGGTGGTTTTGTTTCAGATCATGCAGTCTGTATTGGGCTGAAAATTTGAAAGAAATGACCTCAGTTGTATTGTATTGTGTATAACTTTGCAAGCACCGAAGCTTACATTTCAGTCAAAAAACCAATACACACCAACCGCCTTAAAGAACATACTTAATGAGGGAAAAGTGCTTACAGACAGTATAGGGACATTTTATAGTCGAAGGTTAAGGCACAGTTCATTCGTTATCCTCTCTTTGCTTGTGAGTAAACGTGCAAGATTGGGTATAGATGAATTTCGATGAACGTTTACACGAGATGGAATTTGGTGGAATTGAGAGCATATGAAGAGATGGAAACGACAGTTCTACGTGCAATTGGTTTAGTTCAGTTCGTAAAACCATTAACCATGCCCTATAGTGCACCGGTTTTGGTTACTGTCTTTCGGGTGCAGAATGGATGAACATGAGGAGAAAGACATTAACGGTTGAAAGTAGGATCGAAGAGAACATTGAAAAACTCAGTGGATTAATTATACACAGAAATTGACAAGATGCACGAACACCCCTGTTTACGACACCCAGCCACATCACTCAGTGTATCTAACCATCAGTGACCATCATCTTGGGGTCCCCAGCCAGGGAGCCTAACGGGATATATGCGAGCCAGTCTCCTGGTCAGGGTTTTCATACCCTCATACCAGGTCTTAGCTTGACCACCCTTGACTTTCTTACCTGCCTCGGCAAACATTGCTCACCGTGGCAACCTAACTGGTGACATGCGTAGCGAATGTCCCAACCGGCATAATCTATGGAGGTCGACTACCTGCTCCAGTAGACGACCGCGATTACCTTTCTTCCAATAAACTAACTACGAGTTGCCAGTCTTGTGACCTTTTCCTCGTGTCTCGTTCACGTGGGATATTGCGAGCATGTGCCTTGCGGTTCAATGCTTCCGTAATCCAGTCCGTGATAGCTGATCCTAAATTCGTGGCCTGTGATTACTATTGTGTGGTTCGTGTTCCGAATTCCGTGAGTATTACTACTGCTACTACTACTACTACTACTATTACGATCATTACAGACTCCCAGATCACAAGTTGGTAACCTAACCACTTGGCCACCACCGCCATTTGGAAACCTGCGGTAAATTTCCACATCAAGATTTAAATAAGTGGTTCACATTGTTGTTTGGCAGATTGAATTTTTTTTGTCGAGATTCTGAAAAGTTTAGTGCAGCCTCAGTGGGATTCGAACTGACGCGTGGACGCTGCCTACGCATTTTTACAGCTGAACTACGAGGCTACACCGATACGGTACTGATGTTTTCACATTCTAATCACCCATCCAACTTACCCCATTCGACCCCGCTACAAGCATCTTTTTAGTTTGGAACAAACAAAATTATCGTGTTAACAATAGCTATCTTGTCTGTATCATATCTGTCTGCGGTTGTTGTAATCGCAACCCGAAGACTCAGTTCGAGTCCCGGCAGAGGGATAAAAAGTACTCAGTGCCGGATATCACTCAATAATTCCATTGCATTCAAATGAAAATTTCCCATTTGGCAAGTGTGAATAAATGATCACAACCCATTGCCCAGTGTCTG